TCCATCCATCCATCCATCCATCCATCCATCCATCCATCCATCCATCCCCCTTACTGTCTGCATGCCTCACTGACAGAAAAGAGGATTCACACTCAACCCCCTCTGTGCTGATTGTGTGTAAATAAACATCAACATGTTTGTTCCATTTAGCTGTTTTTCTGGAGCATTGTGTCTACAACTAGTTAGTAAATGTGTCTACGTAAGCTTATTATTCATACACGCACTCCATTCTTGAAACCCCAAGGGTCTCTTAAACCAAACAGCTGGAATGAGTATTGTCCACCAAGCACCATTGTCTTCACCGTGGCAATAAATGCACAAGAGCTCCAGAGAGCATTCCTCTGCTGCTCCCATCTGCTCTTCTCTGCTGTCAAAAGAAGCCCTTAAAGGAGATGGTAGTAAACTAAATAAAGGCACAGCGGGCATATACAATATGGTGAGCCCGTAGACTGGTAGAACCCGACGTATGTGGCGGGCTTAGGTCCAATGAAACTGCTGCTGGAGGCCAAAGGGAAACACTGACCGTCACACCAAATTGCACATTTACTAAATTCAGTGATCAACATGTATGGAGGAGAGAATGGGGCGATGTTGAGGAGTCTAACGGTAGAGAGATGAGCAGCCTGGACTTCTTTCCCCTTGATTTGCATAATGCGTCTCTTGCTCCTCAAACTAATGTTTCTTTTGTTGCCCCAACTTGACAAATGACCACTTAAAAACTGACATCTCTTCTCCGCAGCACCACTGTGTGCTGCCGCCGGGAGTTAATCCTCTGCTTGTGTGTGTATGTGGGCCTATGCTGCATTCCCTAGTCTTGGTCCTGCCAGCTCCTCAACCGCTCCGCTCCAGTGGCTTCCTCAGCCTGAACGATGGATATTCAGCTTAACTCAGCGGTGACAGAGGAGACCCACAGACTGTGAAACACATTGCAGCTGCATTTCCATTCTAATAATTTTGACTAATCCACAGGGTGTGCATGAGTTTGTGGGGGTCTCTCACGGATGTCATGGAGGCACTGCTCTTGACATGAGGCAGGTGGTGTTAGAGTGTGTGACTGTTGTAATAGCTCTTTGCCTAAAGCAACTGCATGAATAAACCATGGTATATTCAACCATGTGCACTGCATGTCATTCGGCAAATCACAAACTGCAAGCCTCTCTTCGATTCCGTATTTACGTTTGCAGCCACATGATGCATGGAAGCATGTTTACATGCTTTAGTGAATTAAAGACATTAGAATACAGACTACTCTGAGGCAACACTAGGGTTAAATGACTTACCAACAGTCTTGACAGTGATTGTCTTGGTGGCCGATTTTTCTCCAATTTTCTCCCAGTTGAGCTCTGGCTCAGTGCCCGTGTGAAGCCACTCAGTGGCTGTGCAGCGGTACTGACCCTCATCCCCAGGTAAGGCATTGTAAATGGACAGAGAGAAGGCGTCAGGTCGCACTTTCTCCGCACGGATCTCTCCGTAACTGGAGCGCTCTCTGTAGGAGGGGCTGTGCCACACGGTGCCGTCCCGATCCACAGAGGCCACTTCCTGGACCGGTCCGGTTGCTTGCTTTTCTATCCACTCCCAGGCAACAGACACAAGGCCTGACAGGGAGGAGACTGAGCAAGTCAGCTGAATGCCATCGCCCTCTTGGACTTCTGAGGCGTTACTAGCCAAGGACACTGTGATGTTGCTCTCTGAGCGGGAAAAAAAGAAGACAGGGATAGAGAAGTCAGTCATGAGAAATACAGATACTGTTTGATTCAAAACTTCTTAATTGCTCCCAGATTTGAAGTATTAACACGTTTGGCCAAAATAGAAAATGCTAAATGGACTCTTGATAGTTAGAAACTTCTTCCATTTTAAAGCCATCAAGTCCCCTGTGCTCATGAGAACACTTAAAACTTCCCAAATGGTTTCATAACTCATTCATACATTTACTGCATTGGTCCGAAGAAAGCTCTGTGTGCTACCTTGATTGATTTTTGTTTTTGTTTTCACAGCACAAAAGTTACATTTAGTCAGAGGGAAGATAGCATGCGGATTGTTAAAAGGGGTGACCACATTTCAACCAACCACATGTGGGACCAAGAGTGTGTTTGTGTGGGCAGTGTGGTACAGGCCAGCTATGCTGAATGCCGTTTGAAAACTGAAAGTTGAGTAAGGAAATTAGAAAGTACATATACCCCAAGCTCCCAAAAGATGATAGCAGTACCATAGCTTTTTTTTTTTTATTTTCTTTTTTTTACAAACATGTGACATTTAGGGAGAAAAAGAGTACTGCAGGCTTAATTTCACTGCTGACCTGTTTGAACAAGAATGCTGAATGTGGCACTTAATGCGTACAATAACAATACTGTTCCCTCATTGTATTTCACTCATTCTGCAAACCAATGATGCCAGCTTTCTGTTGTTTCTTATCACAGCCACTGGAACCAAAAGTATAACCAACACTTATAGCGTTAACTTTTGACACAGAGGCAATCAAAATGTGGGACGTTATCGTTATCCCAGTTTGTGGGATGAAGGACTAGGGGATAAAATGCTGTTCAGTTCCACATAGTGCAGAGGGCAGTCACCCAAGGAACTAATGATAGCTTATTTCCCAGAAAGATGTGACTGAGGTCCTGTTTGCTCAAAGGCATCTCTAAACGGAACACAGCCACGTAAGCTAGTGTAGCTTACGTGGCTGTGTTCCCTTTAGTCTTATATTCTACACCTCTGTGCCTGCATAAACTGTATCTAGTGAGTTCAGACGGTCATAGATGAACTCCAGTCCAGCTAATAGATAATGAAAAGAAGCAGAATGCTACTGTCATGCGCCCGTCTTTATAATGGCAGACATTTTGGGTCTGTGCAGCAGGAAAAGCACAAAGGGGGCATATTTTATTGACTATGGCTCTCTAGTGTCTCAAGAGAGTTAAATAAATAACACACAGTTCATTGTGGAACTTATTCACTAAAAAGTGATGTGCTTAAAATGACATCAAAACATCTGTTTTGAAAAGAGCTATGCTTTTATCATTAACATATTTTTCATGATAATGTACGATATGGTGAAAAGTTGGCGAAGGACCATTAAAAATGTGATCTCGATACTTGAAATTTAGTTTAAAGTTTAATCTACATCTATACCGCATTATCTAACCCAACAATGACAAAGGAAGTTTTTCTTCCTTATTTTTTATTTTCATTTTTTCTTATTTTAGTCTTATCTTATTTTCAGAATTGATATAAAATGTTACAGTGAAGTGGAAATTCAGTGTGCCAATAGGCCTTCCTAACACAATGAAAATTCAAGGGTGGAAAATCTTTCCATGTCTATTGTGTATTTGGCACAAGGGCACAATAATGCCACTAATGGGAGAGTTAGGAATAACTTCTCAAAAACTTTCCTTCTTAATTGAACCCAGAAGATAACATAAAAAAGATATTCTCTGGGAAGAGAAATGAGGACATGATGCCGGGGCAATAAAACAAATGCCTGCATCTTTTCCCAGGAGAACAACCCTGTCCAGTAAAAGGGACGGGCATGCCTGTCTGCATGCTTGTGGGTGCATATGAAGCATGCATGTGAGGGTAACTGGCCTCTGGCGCTTTGCAGAAAAAACTGCAGAAAAAGATAGTATATCTGTGCATGTAGGCTGTGATTCTCCTTCTAAACCCTGTGAATCTCGTTCCCCGTCTCCTCACACGCACAGGAAAGACGACTCATATCATGGGCTCAGTGGCACTTCAGAGGGGAAGGATAAAAGTATTCTCTTTGGCTCTTTTTTTTCTGCATTATTGAGACTCGCATCACTTCTGCGCCCATCAGACTTCATGGAGCTCTGCTGACCCATAAGATGTCTTCCCCCTTGTGGGGCCTGTGCGGCAGTCTCTCTGGTATTTGGCTTCAGATTTCTCACTGTTTTCCTTCCCTTGGGCCAAGCTCTGCTGCCTCTCTCTCCCCGCTCACTGGTCCCTTAATAAGCATGAGTCCTCTGTGACAATGGAATAAACTTCCTTTTTATGTTACTTAAATGAACAGATTGAAAACCTTTTACCCCCTTCCCCCTGTCTCTAATTTGAACAGTTTATAGTCTATTTCCAAAACATAACGTTTACAATATTTTCTACGTCCTAAAACATGAAGAGAGGGCGGTGAGATATGCGCTTAGGTGCTCTGACCTTCACATAAAATTGCCTAGTCTCTGAACATCTTTATGTTTCTTCAGCTTTCCCATTTCATATCCTTTGAACTTTATATTTTACATGCTCCTCACAAGCTCCTCCTGGGTTTTGCTGAGCGGAATGGAATTTCTTCCCACAACGGTGCAGCTCCTTCTCACTACCTTTGCACTTGCCCTTTCTTTCAGAATGATACAGATTCAGTTTGGCAAATGAGTTCTCGGTTGTTTTCTCATCGCAGAGGTAAACTCATCCATCAACATTCATTTGTCAGAGGTGTTTACCGCAGTTTTTTTCCTTTGCTGTCACCTCTGCCTGTCTCTGACTCATCAACTCTAACCTCTGTCACAACCTATTACTAACTCAGCTGAAGTTCCACCAATTAAAGTGATGAAGCACGGCTATAAATTGTGTTTTTTGTGTGTTGAGTGTAGTAAGAGAAATCAACAGTGGCATGACACGAAACACTTTCTGCTTGACAAAACTGTTATTCCAGAATATGGTCCTCTTCTTGTAACCATGGCTATTATCTTGTGTAAATGCTATAAACATGCTTTATAGGGCACCAAGGTCTTTTGTTGGGAAAACGAAAAACCTCCATTGTGCAGTTATTCCCTGGAGAATGCTACGGGCTCAGGGACATTGTTTTTCAGCTAATTTAGCAGAAGGTGCAGCAGTCAGAATGAGGTAACATCGGCTGCTTTCGACCAGATACAACTCTGTCATTAATATACTTTATTATGCTGGTAGCAGCTGGCTCCATACACACTGGTTCAGCTGTTAATGGACACCCAAATACAGGGGAAAGCCGGAGTGCTGCGTCTTCCCAGATAAGATTGAAAAGTCTCAACGGTGGATAGCAAGAGTCGCGAGCAAGGTTTTAAAGGTTTGACTTTAGATTTGTATCAGTCAGCTGCCAGACCCACACAACCCCTCTGACCAGCCCGTCGTCTTAAGCCCGCCAGAGAGGTCCGCCCCAGCAGAACACATTAATTTAGCCAAGGGAACCACTTACTGGGCCCTGGGGAACTGGATGCTTTTCTCTGCTTCTTTCTTTCTCCATACTTTCATTTCATGGCTGTTAGCTCAGCTTCTTTCGGTCTAGATTCTTTAGCTTTCCATTATCCCCCTATAGTGTTACCCTCCTCCCATAAAGGCAGGCAAATGGGAAGAACCACAATGCTGCATTATCAACCCTTAGCAATCCACTCAAACAGAAAATACATCAGGAATGAGAGCTGCATTATTCCTTCCCTCTCCTTCTCAAGGCTAACAATAAAGGGTCACACAGCTATCTGTTATAGGCCATTCTTGTAAAAGGTGGGGGGGGGGGACTCCGCCAGTAGACTTATTACTCACTGAGTGGCTGGACTGATATCTGGACATTACGGGACCTCTTGCTGCGGTCGATGAAGTCTCCTGTTGGCGTCCTTTCACGCTCCGTTACACGACAAATGTACTTCCCGGAATCCTCCTGCCGCAGATGCTGCAGCTTGAGCAGGTGCACGTTGGGGCTCTCCTTGCGCACGGTCATGAGACCGGCGGCCTCCCGGTCAACATAATCGGGGCCCAGGACAGGCACGGCACTTGGGCCCACCACGGCCACCGGTGAGCTGCTGAAGACCCACGACACCGAGAAGAAACGCTCTGGGACGTTCTGCGCCTCAATGGTGCAGCGAAGCTCCAGCGGCTCACCGGCCGTGAAGGACCGTCGCTCCGTGCTCACCTGGATGCTGAAGTCCCGGTCTGGAGGGGAAACAGAGGGAACAGGGAGATTTCCATTAACTTCAATGAGTAGAAGTGACACATAGAGAAAAAGACATTGTCTGAGCTTGAACAATACATTTTTTTAGACATCAAACTGATTTGAATAAGCAGCAGCGAGGGGATTCCAACCTGCTCCAGCAAACAAAACCAACGGTGAACGGAGAATGACACTGCTTCTGTGAGGCATGTTACGAAATGTGGGAAACCGGATGAAAAAGAATAGCAGAAATGAAGCTACACACTTTTTGTAAGGGCAAAGTTGGACTTGCAAAAGCGATAATCATTAACCTGTGCTCCCTTCCTTCCCTCCACCCTAATGCGTTGTTGTGCGTTGTCGGTTTGGAGAAATGACGATGATAAGTGGGGATTTGACGTGACGGGTTAAGTTGGCTGTTAGCTTTCTGTCATCTCTCTTCTCATTTGTTCTACTGAGCAGCCAATCAGGGGGAGCTCCATCGCCGACAGACGCAGCAGTAATTAAGGATTTCAAACAGGCTGAGCAGAGCGTCAAAGACAACGGAGCGCATATACCTAAAAGGCAAGAGGGGCAGATGTTCCGTGTTTGCTCCAGACGTGCCAGATGGACAGTTTTTGGCTTTGTGTTTAAATCCCTTCACAGCCCCATCACTCTGTTTGGGACCATCAGTCTGAAAATATCTCATTCAACGAGCCCTTTTCAGTTGTTTAAACACTACCAGCTCAGGGTAGAATTAGCCAGTCCCCCCCTCATTTTTTCCTCTCCTCACAGCATTAAATAATTCGGCATTCACTGAGTGTAGATAACTGAATGTCAATACCCTTTTCTGAGCTCCCCCCCTCCCCTCCCTTTTCCCCCTTGATAAATAAACAAACAAAAAATGTCCTGACAATATTTTCTCTAATGTTATAATTCTGGACAAGGAAATGTATGGTCTCGGTCTCGTTTAAAGTTAGTTTTTTCTGATTTCACATTTTAATGAATGTGGCTGCAACAAAGGTTCCAGAATAACAGAAATAAACTTAGAAATATCTGCTCAATGTTGCCCACCTAGGCAACAGTATTTATGTTAGCCTCCAAAAGCATCAGCAGAACACAAAGGACTGAAAATCTACACCGACAGCAGTTTGGCGTGAGGTGTAATGTGAGCTACACCACACTCTCTCAGACGATATACATGCCTCAGAGGCTGTAGAGTTTGCATGTTGCTCAGTCACATGACTGAATTATACACAATGCATCCCTTTGTTTTCTTAACTTTGTCTCATAACTTTTCATTAGTTTGGGAAATAAGGACACAATATGGATCCTTTCGAGTCTCAGTCAACGTATTTTCAGCATCTAAAAAAAATGATAAATTGAAGTGAAGTGAAGCAAATGGCAATGCTGTGTTTTGACACAATGAACCAACTATCCAGAGACGATGGTTCAGTATCGAACCGGTTTGCAGCACAGCGAAAAATAGTAGGAGCTCCTGAATGTCAAGGTCATGCAGCACACCACTCCAGTAAAGCTGAGATTTCAGAAAACTTTAACCTCTCTCCCTGCTCGATCTCACCTCTGCAACAAATGGAAAAAAAAACAACAACATCTAATTAAAATTCTCTTCAGCTGTCTGAATCCAAGTCAGGCGCTCCCCTCCTCTTCCAGAACGGTCTAAGACAACACAGAGAGTAAACACAGCTCGTTCGAACACTGTCACATGGCCAAATGAGACTTTTTGTCTGCCTGTGTGCGGCTGAGCTTGCGTATGTGCGTACGTGGCAGTGTTGTCCAGTTTTCTTTGTTATATTAATGTGCCGAAGCTGAGCAGGATACGCACTGGAGACAGCTGCTTTGCATCTCTGTGGGGTTTAGCCCCGAGCTGTAATTACAAAGACAGTAAACAGGATTCCTGAAAAACACACTCGTGTGGAAGGGTTCAAAGCCTGCCCCTGTTACAGAGCTAGTTATGCAGGGAAATATTATGATGAGAAGGGGGCATATTGTTGGCACACACACATAAGCAAGGATACTCACGCAGCTTTAGTCTATACAAACTAACAGGAGCGCAGTGACGACCATTCACACTCTTACTCACATCTATGGGCAACTCAGAAATACCAATTAACCTAGCAAATATGTCTCTGGACCAAAATACACACACGTGCATAAAGATTCTGCAAACTTCCCTACATGAACTGATTGGCAGGTTCAAAACACGAGGATTGCATGCATTGCATATTCAGAAGACTGACACGCAGCACAAATGATTGAATGTATCATGAAATCAGCTCACAAATCGAATTTCTGGAGTACTGGATAAAGGTGGGGCAGAAATTAAGGCTCCACCGCAAGCAAAACACACTGAGCTGCTGTTTTGTATGTAATGCACTATGCAAATATTTTGCAAAAAGTTTTAGGTAATGAACCCGTTCAACCTGTTACATACTATTGACACGATTGTGAAAAGACTATTTTTTAAGATAATTATCAATGATGATTCAACTTGCCTGTTTGTTATACACAAATGGTTCAAGGAAAAAGATGTGGGCGGTGGATTCATAATCAACGTAAAATAAAACTCAAATGTAAGCATCAGTTTGTGGGAACAACTTTCCACTCGACTCCCAGAGCACAAGGCAACATGATGAGATCAAAACAATCAAAGAGTGAAAGTTGAACTTCAAAAGGGAAAAAGAATTAAAACAGATGGTTAAAACATTTCTGCCAGTTCAATCCATCTGATTCTATGAATATAAAGACAGTTATTTTGGTGTTAAAGTGAAGTTAAAGGATTGTGTTCTGCTCAAAATATAGCAACTGTGACTGTCGCTGCATCTGTTTTGTTATATATTCATGTTTTTGTTCTTTTTCTGGCTGCTTCAGTTTTCTTTTATAAGACCACAGACTTGCGTGACAGATCAAGGCGGCGCTGTTAAAGTGCATGATTGTTCAGGCTTTGCTGTACTCAGTAATGAAAGCAAGCATAAGCTACGGCAGTAGAGCACAAGCATACACACAATTCAGCAGGAGTGAACGGAGCAGCCAACAGACACCAAAATCAATGACATAATGCTTGCTGCAGCTACGAGGACAGAGCGACATTGTACCGAGGCCTTCGATTGCTATCAGTGTCGCAACCTTGCAAGACTACATCCACACACCATTGAGCATCGACAAAATTTACAGGGAAACAAGCTGGGCTCTCTTAGAGGATCGAGTAGCCTCACACACCTCAGAAATGAGCTTTGTTAAACACTATTTTAGTTGTACAGTAATTCGAGAGGAGTCATCGAAAGAGCTAAAGTGAAAGAGCTGACCAAAAAAAGCGATGTGATAAGAAATTAGCGCCAAAATATGAGTGAGTCCAGCAGCAGGAAACAAGTGAAGGGGTGAGAGACAAAAGAAAGAAGGAGGGACATGGAAAAAGTAGATAGGGAAACGTGCAAAAGATGCTTTAAGATTCTGTCTGTTGCTCCTTTCCAAGCTGGCTGTGGGTGATTAGACAGTGATGAGGCTGCCATGAGACCTTCTCCATTTTTATAATAGGAGTCCAATGGAAAAGTCCCCTCTTTTGTATATGCCCGTTTTGTACTCTCTCAGTCCAAAATGCTCTTAAACACTTCAAATACACACCTAGCTTGCCTTAAAGGTGCACCCGCCAAGCATAACAAGGACACAAAAAGAAGTCAAAATGAATATACACAAATACCCAACTTAAAGCACTCGGAACAGCTGCACGCTGTCATGCAACTGTTTTATTCCCTTTGTCATGCGACAATAACTCCATCAATTATAGATTACAGGGAAGACGGGGAGTGACAAAGAGTGTTGAGAAGGGAACTCGTCGATCCTTTTGTCTACTTCCAGAAGTAGCGGAAACTCATCTGAAAAACCTGCTTTACATCTGAGCTCCAACTCTCCTCCTTCTCCCCGCAGTACTATCTGGGGCACCATCAAGTTGGATCGGTCCACATCCGTTCGGATAGCTAATGGAAAGTGGCAAAAAAGATTCCACTTTGAAGTGATTTGCTGGCATGAGACACTCGCCACTCATGTCTCCTTGGTAATAGAGATAAAGACAGGGCAGTTTATCACCCATGTCCTTGCCTCTTTCTTGGAAGAGTACAATGAGCTTCTTGATATATGTGGACCACATCATAGTGGACGTGATGGGGTCAAGGCAGACGAGACGCTAGAAGAACAAATCAGGAGTCATAAGAGGGCTTTTGTTGCTTGTCCTTCTCGTCTAAGTAAAGAGTGATGGCTTATTAGACCATTATGATACAAGGCATACTCCCCCCCACAGCAGCCATCCCTAGTCAGTACATTTTTTATCTCCCACATTCTTCCATCCTTCAGCTCGTGTCACTTGCTCATCCCAGTGCTACCCCTCACTCTTTCTTTTTCCTTATTCCTTAGTTGGTAACAGGCTCCCTTTATGTATCTCCTCCTGCCATTTTGGCAACCAGTATGGTTGCTCCCACTAATGCATTTTGGCATAAAAAGCCTGGTGTAAATGTTAGTGAGGAGTGTGGATTCTGAGCCCTGGCTATGTGCTGCCCGCGGAAGCTGTTTATCTGGAAGTCAGAGGTCTCCCATGTCAAGCGCTCATGCTATTTTGAGCAGGTTAAAAACATTTTTCTTGGGTTAGCTTGTAATGTTGCCCATCAAGCAGACACAAACACAAAAGTGTGGAGTCTGTAGAGGTTTAGTTAAGCTCTTTTTAGGAAGCTAATGAGCTTAGTATGAGATACTGATCAGCAATCAGAGGAACCCGGCCCACATGGAGGCATGCATGCCTATCAAAAGGACAGAGGGACCAATGTGATTACCCCCCCCTCTCTCTCTCTCCTTTCCCACAGAATTTCTCCCCTACAACATTATGGCTGTAGATCAGAAAGAAAAGGGCACAAGGTTGTGAGCTGATTACAGTGTTAATGGTGTAAAGTGATCACGCGCCAAGAGAGACAAACATTTGTTCCTATATCCATTCATGTTCAACACTCAGTGAAAGCATGATTACAAAGCCATTTGTAATCACAACTTTGAGGAAGCTTCCTATATTTTGCCCTACGTGTAAAAAAAAGATTTTGATACAAAAAAATTAAAGGGCCTCTGTGTGACACCAAATGAAAAAGATGTGCCAATCACATTCAAAATCATAAAACCTGGACCATATCTGACTATGAACACTGTCTGTGAAAGTTTTCCACCAAACTCAGAGCCAGTTTTTTCAGTCTCATCTGCCAAACACTGGCTCATTTGCTAATCGATATTCACAGACTTCAGCTGCTGTTAAACAGCGTGTATAAAACTAGACTCAAATACGAAGATAAATTGTCTCGTGCATTGTGGCCCTCCACAAAAATTCAGATTAGTCTATTATTTATGAAAGAGGGAGCAGACATCTAGTGGAGGAGACAGTTAAAAATGATGCAACAATGAAACTGACTGCAGAAAATCCACCCCACAGCTGGTTCTTTTTCCGGACAACTTCTAACTAGTATGAACACCAGTCATCAACCAACACTGGAACATGGCCAGTATGGCCCCTTGCCTCCTGCCCTGTGACAGCTGGGATCCTGTAGAAAATGGATGGGTGGATTTAACAGAAGAGATGCAGTGGGTCTATCACTGACATACCAGTTGGCTGAATACGGAGTTGGGTCTTGTCGCTCTGTTTTCGGGTCATGGCAAACCAGCTTCCATCTGGGTCCTGAATCCACTCGGCTGCCTGGCAGTAGAGCAGTCCCTGGTCTACCGGCTGCAGCATGTGAATGGTCAGCCTGTAGGCCGTAGCACTCGTTTTGTCCAGCCTGAGGTCCCCGGCCACCATCCTCTGCCGGTAGGGTCCTCCGGAGCGCAGCACGAAGTCCCTGGACAGGGTGACCATCTCCTGAGGGGGCGCGGCCGCGTCCTCCGGAGACCTCAGGTACCAGCCCACTGACAGGTGGGTGTGATGCACCGTGGTCCGAGACACCTCACAGGTAAGCTGCAGTGTGTCGCCCTCCACTTTGGAGAGAGTCTGGGCCGGGGCTGCCACTGTCAACGAGTCCGCGATCACTGTAAAGGAAAAAATAAGAAAAACACAGATGTCAAGACATGCAGGAGCTTGCCAAATCAATCTCTATAAATACCCTCCAATCTTACACCATTAAATATTGAATTCTACCCGCAGAATGTTTACATATGGAATCGTTAAGGACGTGAGAAAAGCATTCACCCTGCTGTAAGCGGTTAGTAATCTGATTTATTCCCGGAAGAAGGTGTGAGTTAAAGGAATTAATATATCTTGTGTCCTTTTTTTTTCATTTTGAAGTGGTGACCACTATTCCCTCGACATATGACTTTCACATGTAGCCATGTGTTGATAGCATTTTCCCTATCTCTCACAGCCAGATGCCCCTAGAGACGCCTCTGGCAGAGCGTTCCAGCTGATTATGTCCCATATTGATCGCTATAGCAAAAATAACCAATCTCAAAACAACTCCACCCCTCTTAATCACACATTTAAAAAAAACTTTAAAAAAACAGCCACCTAAGCACACTGGAATAAATTAATCTCGGCCCCATCTACAATGAAAAAAAGAAAAAAATACAAGCCAGATGGTCTGGAACAGAAGAGATGAGAGACTGGGGACAGTCAGGTGCAAGGAGGGGAAGAGACATCAAGATGTGATCATTTCAGGAGGCAAGCTGGAAATGCTAAGCACGGCGACGAAAATAAACATGTACAGCTTTTTATAAAAAGGAAGCCGTTTAGTTGAAGGAGTATTTTTGGATGCGAACCAGGGCACCACTGAGCTGCATAATAACGTGTGTGCGTGGGGAAGACCAAAAGAGAGACTGGAAAAGAGAGATTTAAGTGGGCAAAAGTTAATGCATTATTGACAGATAAAAGGTAAATATTAGAAAGGTTATAAGGGGAAGATGTCAAAGGGGGGCCTGACTGGCGAAAGGTAAAGCTATGCTGATTTAAAATGTGGTTTTAATTCATTTTGGTAAAACTAATTATGTTTTTTCATCCTTGCACTGCAATGTGGTGATTTTTAGCACTAAAAACTTAAATAAAAAAGATCTGTGCTATGGTTTTCTAAAGCTCCTCAGCTACTTTGAGTCTTAAGTGGCGTGAGAAGTATTTTTCTTCATCTTTCAAGTGTGGATTAATCAAATGCAAGAAAAAGTTTAAACTCAGTTTAATCTAGAAAGTATGCAAGGGCACATTCCATACACAGACACTGAAAAATGCCTGGGATGCAACCGTACACAAGAGACATACATATGAAACAAATGGAGAGACAAGGACAGGAAAACCAGAGATAAATAAATACCAGACAGAGAAAAGGGTTAGCTTCTTGCCACTGGACGTTGACGGGACACTCAAATAAACAAAAAAAAACTCATATAAAAACTAGAGGGTCATATATTCGGATTTAGACATTCTAATAACTAAGGACAGACACAGATAAGCCGCTTTTCGTTATAGTTTAAATATTGTCAGGGTCTGATCGAATCTCCTCTCTGAACTACACAGTCTTTGAAAAACTGCAGCAGGGGATGCAAATGAGTCACGAAAAGACACAGAACTAATACAACTACCCTTATGGCAATTTTATTCATATTTTGCAAGAGAAAATGAATGATATGTGAATCTTATTGGGTTTGTTACTTAAAATAAACTATATTTTGAGCAGATATATGCTTAGCAGCTGGTGGTAATGGCTGGTACTGCTTGGTGATAATCGTTAAGTATAATCATGGCTTCACCAACTGTGACTTCTCTCACTGTAATATCTGGGCTTAGGTGACTGTTCAAGAACTCATGCAGCGTGAGTAACTAATTAAAGCAAAAATAGACCTTGCTTGTGTCAGAGCTGGCACTGAGATACATTCTAGCCCCATGGTTCTGCTTTTCTGAGGTGTTCTCTGTTCCACTGGTGATTCTACTGGTGTTTTTTCTTTTCAAAGGCTTTGTATCTTATGTGGACTAATAAGCTAATAGCTGGTCTCTGTTCGTAAAGTATCTTTTGATACTTGGAGCATTTCCCTTCAATGAATGTTTCCCATTTACTGTCAACTATGATGTCAACCAGTGAGAGTGTGTGCTTGGTGCTTAAAGACACGTCATGTCTGGATCTGCTTTGGTGGTAGCTATCACAATGTTGTTTTGGGATGTAACATTTCCTTGAGGATTTAATTATGCTGTTAGTGGACTTTTGAGCAGCCCCTAAGGTTATTAGCTGTCTGTGTCTCTTGTTCTTAGCAAAGGGTGAAGATTTGCCACAGGTGTGCAATTTGGAAAGGCTTAGAAGCTCATCACACTTTTTTTTTCTAATGTAGAGCTTTACCCAGTGGACTTTGGAGGGCTTAGTCAAGGTGACATTTCTCACCAAAACAGTGTGCATTTTCCACAAACTCACATACACGTGAAAGCATCGGTGTGCTGTCTTGACTCTTAAGATGCCATCATTGCAAAAATCCTAAGACCATACTTCATTTTTTTACTCTGACAACCCTTTAGTCTGCTAAACAAAACTCGTCTGCAGATGAATGTCCCCTAGCCGCTACTACAAAATGGGGGGGGGATTTAAACACTTGAAAACCATCAACCTTTTCTTTATCAAGTCTGAAATTCAGTGCTTTCAATTTTACTTTGAGAATTTTGAGAGCCACTTTGTTAGGCACACTGAGCCCCTCCATATAGTATCAAGTTATATGTCACTAATGTGAAGGTTTTTTTTTTTTTCTGTTCTCCAGATCCAAACATTCCCTGTCAACAATATAACTAAGACGACTTTTGATCTTTGTGAACCCATTCTTACCAGCTTCTCCGACTTCAGTCAACAATGAGTGAATGACAGCCTGGAATAGATTTACTGTTGCCACAACAACGCACCTACGCTACAACCTGCAATCACCATAGAAACCCTCCCACATGATGCTTCTGGCCTTTGAGAACAGTGAGGAGTTACTATAACAACCACACCCACAAACACCAACCCAACTCTTAAACTGAGTCATGTCTCTTCTGCAGATACACCTATGCAGAGTGAAAACAACAAGCTATTCCCTCATGTCCAATTTTTACAAAATATATTGAACTGTTTGAATGTATACCATGTGTGCTGATCACGTCAGTTGTCTGCACACTAATACAATAATAATATTATTAATAATGATAAAATAAAGACAAAATATTTGAAGAACCAAAAGAGACAACTCCAGCCAATCTTTTGCAAGGATCAGCCTGAGGGTTGTAAACATAATAGATATCCCCAGTAGCCCTACTGACCTCAATCTGGGAGGGATTAAGATCAGTATGAGATGACGTTCTCAGGCAAAAACACTCATATTTGTCATTTACAAGGACATTGTACTGACTTGCTTTACCTGTGGTGTTCTGAATGACAAACGTCGCATCGACATTCAGAGACAGTTGTATTTGTGCTTTCATTTTTTCACTTTTCAGTAAAATAGAAACCCTAGAAGATAACAAAAAATGTACTAATAGGAACAGTCTGAGCCTCCATAGGTCAATAATACTCTGCTCTATTGTTTTGTTCAAGATTCAGAAAAAAAGATTTAATTATGGTTCTTTAACATGTCTGGGTCATCAGAAAATTGATCAACTCCTTAATATACTTTAGAAAGATAGAAAGTATAGATTCATACAAAACAACTAAGGACTGGCAACAAAACCCGACATTCAATACCTATTTTTGAACAAAAGGATACAAATTCAACCATTGGCAGAAATGGTAAATAACTATGGATTTTATAAAATGAGGAATGGGAAAAAGCATATACCAACTGAAAAGTTTCTGGAGGGCAGCGACCACTGTGGGAAAATTCACCCTTTTTGTTGTTGTTGCTCTTTGCCTCTTATTTTTCCTGACACCACTGATCAATGTCTGGCTTAAGAAACTGGTCCAAAGTGAGTATAAATCGACCATTTCAAGACAGTTCCTGAAAAGAATTACACTGATTCCTCAGGGCATATTTGGGGAACGACTATGGGATTTAAAAATTGAAAAAAATAAAAACTGTTTCTCAAACCCAAAAACTTCTGTCAGTGTGCACCAGCTGAAAACGGAGGATATACGCGGTAAACCGGGAAGCTGTAAAGCTGTGGAGAACAGACTGACGCCCTGACAGTTTTTGGTCATCTCATGAGATTTGTTTAACGTGACATGCCAGATGGTTTGTCACATGATACCATCTGGGAAATTGTAGTGGAAAATGTTCTGAAGATAAGGTGTTTTCAAATTAAGATAATAAAATTATAGCAAAACTATCTGCATGAACTAGCTGTCCGTCACGTTCGATCACAGGCTAGTTTCAATCAATTAGATCCACAGGCAAAGCAAAACTTTGAAACTTTACAAAGTTTAGTCTAGACAACAGCAGACATTTTTTCCTATCCTGATTTCATCCAAAGAAAATGTGGATTTATTCAGTGCTTTTAAAAATAGCATGAGCATGACAGTCTTTCTGTTGAGAGATCACTATCCGTGCAATGTGATTCATACAAACACACACCGAGCAGGCGGTGCATTTTATTATTAATATCTTAGGAAGCCAAAAGAATAATGACATTATCCCCCACTATAAATAAACATGGCAAAAGTGAATGCTGAAGCCGATGACAGGGACTGCTCTGTTAGAGGTTTTTCTCTCCTAAATATCCTTGAAAAGTCTGTATTTAGTGGCCATGTTCTCTGCGGTTCAGAGAACTATTCCATACAACGAGCTATTTAAACTCATGAGGGTCTTGATTTGTATAAATGCAAAACTGTTACAGACTGAAATCTTTGCATTGGATAACGAGTAATTCTCCCATTAAAATCTTAAAATCTAATTAAAATCGTACAATCTTTTAGACTGGGGCTTTTAGGCATGCATGTGGTGAAAAGCCTTCTGACTGACGCAGATGCTGTCAATTCTCTGCTAGTCTTAAAAACAACTCCCGTCCCGCTCTACCTCATCTGCAGGTTTTTGCTTTCATCTCCCTCTGCTCCTGATCTTCCTCAACTTTTTTCAGTCCTCTGAAGTGACTGACGGTTGTCATCCCTCAAGCTGGGCTTTTAAGTCCAATCACACAGGGATAGAAGTGAGAGGGATACA